TATTATATGTATATTGTTTAGTTATATATATATAGATATGAATATACAAATAATAGATATGTATATGTATGTGGTATTTTTTATTTATTATATACATGCATATATGTTTATTATTTATACTATATATATATATATATTATATTATATATATATATATATATATATATTCTTTTTATGCATGTATGGATGCATGTGTTTTTATTCGTTCATCTCGTGATTAGAGAACACGTATAGTTCTATTGGTATCCGAGTGTAGAAGTTTATGCAAATACCACCGCACAGTGTAGATAAATACATTCCAGGAGGATGTACTTAATTGTCATCATTGGAATGTGTTTTTGTACTTTGGCGTTAACGTATCTGTATTATGTATAATATATCTGATATATACACGTGTTTGTGTGGCACATGCAGGCAAATTCTTACATGCAGACTCGTATTCTGAATTCGTTTTGTAAAATTTGTGTGCGCGAGACCCGGGGACAGTCCTCAATTTGTCGGATTGTGGTTTGTTGATCTTGATTTATCTTCTTTGTTTCATTTGACGTATGGCTTCGTGTGTCACTGACATGAACCATCTCTCACTCTGTTCTTGCTAACAGGTCGAGAAAGACAAAATCTTGATCATGACCAAGGAAATCGTCCCATACTGTCTAAAACACAATGCCGAAGCTGAAGCCTGTGACTTAGTGATGGAGATTGAGTGTCTAGACTTATTAATAGAACACGTAGACAAGGATACTTATCAGCGTGTGTGCAATTACATCGTGTCATGTGTCCCGTACACCCCGGTGGAAGAGAGTGCCATACTCCTGCAGGCAGCTTTGGATCTGTACATGGCCCACGGCAAACAAGTGCACGCACTTCAGCTGGCTATTCGACTCAATAAGCCTGAAGTGATCAAATCTGGTATGCTTACGGAGCTCCATAGTTTCTTCTCGTCCTCATGTGTGCTTGTTTATATAAATGCTCGTCAGTATATGTATGCCTCACGAATTGTCTGAGTTGTGCCAGCGTGGTTATATTGATGTGCTGCGGCGCAACTCACTGGAGGCTGAAGTCGGTTAGAACATCACCTGTATCATCTGTAATCATTATCAATGTGACTACTAGTATATACTCAATCACATGCTTGATTGGGTCCTGGAATAGTGTTCGAGAAGATTGAGGATCCTGTGGTGAAGAAGCAGGCCTCATACATACTCGCGCGCCAGATGCTGCCGGCACAGTACGACGACGAGACGAGCGAGGAGTTGCTAGAGATTCTTGCCAATGCGCATCTCAACCAGAACTTCCTCGCTCTCGGTCGCGATTTGGACGTCATGGAGGCCAAGGTACGGGAAACTTTGACTTGCTATGGTTTTATTGTGTCGAGGGTGTATGTGATACATGGACGTATATGTGATCGCGTGTAGGTATGTATTGTATGTGCTGGCCCTTTCGCCGGTGTGTATTTTTAGGGTTCTAATATGTGTTGTGTGAAAATATGATCTGGTACAGACACGGCATGCCAGGAGTACGCACGGGCCTCGCCTACCTTCCGTACACGTGCTCACATATTCTCTTAGTGAGGCTACTCATTTCGTATGTTGTGCTTTATACACCACACCACGTCACAAAGGCACATGTAATGCGCGCTTGCGAGTACGCCATGTGTAGTGTACGCGCATATGTGGAACCTGAAGGTCCTTTGTTTGCAGCTATTACATCCTTCCGTTTCTGAAGGGTGAGGATAGAGGCTAGTGAGTACCTCTATGAACCCGTTTTTCGGTGAATTACACCCGAAGACAGTGGCATGTTGCTCGCGCGTTCAATCAATTGACTGTGATATCTCACTGCCCAACTAAGCTCAGCCACTGTATACAGGGCGCCATTGTGAGTCAGACCGAGTGCAGTCCAGCGTCTTCTGTCCAAAGACTTCACAGCGCACAATCTTTCGGCGTGCATGTTAATTATCGAAATGCTCTCACCTACATTTACCTACATTTACCTACACACGCAGGTGCCCGAGGACATATACAAGAGCCATCTCGAGCCCAGCCGTTCGACATTCGGCTCGTCCGTGGACTCTGCGCGACAGAACCTGGCGTCCACCTTCGTCAACGCCTTTGTGAACGCTGGCTTTGGCCAGGACAAACTCATGACCGTCGAGGGCAACACGTGGCTGTACAAGAACAAAGAGCACGGTATGATGAGTGCCTCCGCGTCGCTGGGCATGGTGCTACTGTGGGACGTCGATGGAGGGCTCACGCAGATCGACAAGTTCCTGTACTCCAACGACGACTATGTCAAGGCGGGGGCCTTGCTGGCGTGTGGGGTGGTCACGGCTGGGGTCAGGAACGAGTGCGACCCTGCACTAGCGCTGCTGTCTGATTATGTTCTGCACTCCAGCAACATCATGCGCGTGGGGTCTATTATGGGTCTGGGCATCGCGTACGCCGGTTCGTCGCGGGAGGAGGTGACGGATCTGCTTATTCCAGTGCTGAGCGATGACAAGTCCAATATGGAGACCCTGGGCATGGCCTCCATTGCGCTGGGTATGACCTGTGTGGGCACGGCCAACGCCGAGGTGGTCGAGGCGATCCTCACGTGTCTGATGAGTGAGAAGGTCACCTCCAACCAGAGCGACACGTACGTGCTCTTCATCGCCTTGGGATTGGCGCTGTGTTATCTGAGGCGCGAGGAGGCTGTCGAGGGTACCATGGAGGCGCTCAAGACGCTGCCGGGCTCCATTGCACAGTTTGCGAGTGTGTTGCTGGACGTGTGTGCATACGCGGGGTCTGGCAATGTGCTGAAGGTGCAGAAGCTGTTACACATGTGCAGCGAGCACATCAAGACAGACGACGAGGAGGACACTACCGAGCCCGAGCCTGCCGCCGGTGCTAGTGGTGAGGGTACACCGGATGCTGCTGGGACAGGTGTGTGTGTGTGTGTTGTTTTTTTGTTTTCCGTGGATACGCATCGTTGTCGTGGGGTGTATATTTGTGAGAGAAAGATATATATATATATATACGCACATGTATACTCTTGTATTTGTTCTCTTTGAACACGTTGCTTGCATTTTTTTCACCCGGGATTTCTCGCTTTTCCACATACGCTCACAGCTGCCGGCACAAAAACGAAGGAAGGCGATGCCAATGAGGACGAAAAGGCTCAGGACAACCGATACCAAGGCATTGCAGTCATTGGACTGGCGCTTGTGGCGATGGGTGAGGAGATTGGCACAGATATGGCTATCCGATCATGCAGCCACCTGCTACAGTATGGTGAAGAGGTTATCCGCAGAGCCGTGCCGTTGGCCCTAGCGCTTCTGTGCGCGTCTAACCCAAAGCTTAACGTGCTTGACACGCTCAGCAAACTCTCGCACGACCAGGACGCCGAGGTGGCTCACAACGCCATCTTCGCCATGGGTATGGTAGGCTGTGGTACCAACAACGCACGTATAGCGGCCATGCTGCGGCAGTTGGCGGTGTACTACCACAAGGACCCCAACAACCTGTTCATGACACGCTTGGCCCAGGGCTTGTTGCACATGGGCAAGGGTACCATGACCATCTCACCGTACCATTCCGATCACTCCATCATGTCGCTGGTGTCTACCTCATCTCTATTGGCCGTGCTCATGTCTCTGCTGGACGTCAAGAAGAGTAAGCCATTGCTTCTCTCGATTGTTGGGAATGTGTATTTGTTGTTACAAGTGGAGCAAAGTAACTCAAAGTGTGGGTGCGATCGCCTGGGTTGATTGTGTTGGTTCTCATATCGCGTATCGCGTATCTCGTTTCTTCTCACTAGTAAGCCACGCCGGCACTTTCGTGTTCAAGACCGACCTGTTTGTCGCGTCTGCGGATGAAATATAACGCTAACTCTGGGCCTCTATTTTTTTTCAATTTTTTTTTTACCGTCACAGCTATTCTGGCCAAGAACCATTACATTCTATATTTGCTCACGCCAGCCATGTTCCCGCGGATGTTGGCGACGTTCGATGAAGACTTAAATCCTTTGCCCGTCAGTGTGCGTGTAGGACAGGTTAGTGTATTCATCTCCGACATAATAGTGAAGTGACGTGTTACATTGGTAGGACCATGACAGCGGTGTATGTGTACCTGCACGACACAAATAGATGGCTGTGTCGTGCTTGATCTTCAATCTTTATTTCCAGGTTATCCTTATGCCGGTTGGTGTGTGAGAATAACTTATGCGCGGGCAACCAACCAAACATGCCGATGCCACTGAGCACAATGCTGAACTGAAAGCTGTCTCCCAAGTGTATAAGCCTATTCGTCGTGTCGTGTCGTAGTCGAATCTCATCGTTATTTATATATACTTGAACCTCATCGTTATTTGTGTCGTATATACTTGAACCTTATCATTGTTTGTGTCGTATATACTTGAACCTCATCGTTATTTGTGTCGTGTATACTTGAACCTCATCGTTATTTGTGTCGTATATACTTGAACCTCATCGTTATTTGTGTCGTGTGAGATTTTTCTTTGATCTTCTGTTTATTCACTCGTCCCTGATGCAGGCTGTCGACACAGTGGGACAGGCAGGAAAACCGAAAACCATCACCGGCGTACAAACACACACAACCCCCGTTTTGCTGGGCAGCAACGAGCGAGCAGAACTGGGAACTGAAGAATGTAAGAGTCAGCCTACGGCTCAGCCTGGTTCATTTCAATCGCTAGTTCTGTTGGTCAGCCTGTTTCATTTAAATCTTAGTTCCGTTGGAATCCATTTTCTTTGGTCGGCCTGTTTCATTTTAATCTTAGTTTAATTGGAATTCATTTTCTGTCATGTTGCAATCTGTTAGGCTTGGTATTGTGCACTTGGACCTCGATGCTTGAAGATTAGGCTGAAATACATCCCGTGCTGATCGTCTATTTCTTTCTCTTTCTGTTGCACCCACAGATATATCCCTGACGCCCACTATAGAAGGATTTGTAATTCTGAAGAAAAACCCTGATTATGAAGCGTGATTAAAAGATAATTTTTAACTACCACAGTAGCCAGAATGCGTACGACCCAAATATCTGAGTCATCGGCATCAGTTGTACACCTTTTGATTATAAGGAAGTTTGTGTGGTAGGTGCGGCGCCTGTGCCCTACGTGCTGCGTGTATCTAGACTGTGTCACACAGTACGATAGATTACATATATAAACCTTGTTCCTGTGTCCAACCTCCGTGGTTCTACTTAGGTAATAGCAGATAGCTTTCAGTGATCTCCAGCTGTTAGTGAATAAGCTTGATCGGGGTATAAAAAGGAGAATATAATATTTACAATGGAGCAGCCTCATACACCCGGGGCATGCTCACATTCCTCGTTCAGTCCGTCCGGTTCATTTTTTCCCCACATGAATAAACATGCCCGATTTTGACCATAACGAAAACTATGAGCTCTTTTTTACACCGGCGTTGTTTGATTTCTGAATTGTATGGATATGTCTATGAATCGGTAGTGCACAACCTCACGAATGCGGAATGGCAAAACTTTCTGGGGCGCTTCAGTGTGTCTAATATATGGCCCGGTTCATACATCTGGGAAATGCGACCGACTGAACGGGAGATCAAAAGTCATGATTAAGTGATAATACATTTGATTGTATTCCCTGTCACCAGGCGAGCAAATAGTCGGACGCATTTTTAGTTTATGACTACTAGAGACTATCATTGTATTAATATGCGGCGACAGTTTTAAGTAGATGTGATAGATGATCACATCATGAATACCATTCCAGGTGGCTTCAGTTGGTATACCATCTATCAAATACATAGGTTGCATCGTGATCACCCTTCCCGAATACCGCCTGATTAAACTATTCCGTCAATCCTAAAGCAAGATCAGTATGACATCTTCTGCTTATGTGTGATGCACTTTGTGGAAGCTTTTTATCAGAAGTGGGCCGCCTGTATACCATTGTCTGAATATTTGCTTCTGGGTCAAAACATTAATTTTATGATTACAAGGCGGATTATGAAATATAAGGCGCTACGATATTTCAAGTCTACCGAGCTGGCAAGTCTACCGAGCTGGTTGGCGTGTTCAAGTTCAAATATAATCTGTTTCAAGTGGGTGGTGAAGAATTTTGTGTCTGGCGCTGTACAACTTACATCTCTGTTTGCTTGCGGTTGTTAGAAACCCATATTTTATTCAATTACATATTTGATGTAATTTAGTCAAAATCTTATATTCATATTCACCAGTAATGTATACTATCCTGCATGCGAAGCCCTGTATCTTAGATATAGATCGTGTCCGATCAATTGCGTTCACAACTCAAAGCGATAGTGCTTGCCAGTCTTGGACATGCATACATGCATATATGCATACATGCATACATGCATACATGCATACATGCATACATGCATACGTGCATATATGCATACATGCATACATGCATACATGCATGCATATATATATATACATATATGCATATATATATATATATACATATATACATATATACATATATACTTTTATACATATATATATATATATGAATGTATGTATGTATGTATGTATGTATGTATGTATGTATGTATGTATATGTGTATGTGTGTATGTGTGTATGTGT